GGGTCTGCCTCTGGTGGCGACAACCTGTAGCAGACTTTAACCAGGCCGCCCTCAGGACCGATAGCTAAGCCAGCAAAACTAGGACGAAGAAAGTCGCCATCTGAAGGAGTTCACAGGTTGACCCAACGAGCAGTTGGTGTGTAGACCGAGTCTGCAGTTGAATGCTACTGACCTACGCATGAGGTCTATAGCTTTAGGCCGACCTTGTATCGCTCTTTATATTCTTATTATTCGCCTGAGTGTACCGAAACCATTTGCATAATTTGACAACCAAGAAATGATCTTTTTTATTTGCTTTATTTCACATGAATCATTTTCACATCAACCCTAGGAATACCGGCACTTCTTGCGTCCGATTCGTTTTCTGGTATCCATTATTCACAAAGACAAAGAGCTTTAAACTTTTGCGTGTGATCCAGCTGTTACTTTTGAATTTTTTCGTCTTTCTCAAAATGTTGTTGCTGCTTGTCTCGATTCTCCCTGAATTCTTGAGAGAGCCGTGCTAGGGCGCTGCCACATGCGAAGGGGAGTAAGCTTGTAGTAGACAAGGTTCGTCCCAAATTTCCCACACCGTATATTGGGATGATTGATGACCTAGGTTCAAACAAGCAGCGTACTCGTGAAGAACGGCATCAGTACCACTGCTGTACTCACTCCACAAACAAGGATTTAATTTGCTATATCCAGATTCCTTTCAGAGCGGTGTTGTATCTTCTGGAGCTGTAAATGCATTTCTGACAGTCAGCACAGTTCAACACTAATCCGAAATACGCATGCATTTGTATTGATTCAAAAATACTTCTATCACATCTATGAGTTACATCGGCTCATTCCGTTTTGTACCAAGTATCTTCAGGATTGCTTTGTTGTTTTGCGTGTTTTTAACATATGCAAATATCTGTTCTCCAGCTATTTGAGTCATACGCTGCTGTGCAACAATGAAAACATCAACCGTGGTTCTGACAATACCACTGGTAATGGCTATGATGCACGGCGAGATGGACTTGTTGCTTGTACACGGAGTAAGTAGTCTGAATCATCCTTCAAAGAGCGGGAAATGAAACCGCAAGAGTTTATTCTGACACCACTTGTTCCCATATATTTTTCAAAAGCAATGCTCCACTAATATCTTTTGCACTCGCTGTTACGAAAAAGTAACGCAATTGAAGAAACCGAAATATTTAAAGATTGTCAACATAAAATGTCAGGTGTGGCGACATGGTGATCGCTCACCGACAAGAACCTTTCCAACTGATCCAATTCAAGAGGTGGACTGGACATTTGGTGGAGGAGGATTTGGACAACTTTCACCGGTAAGAACATTCGGCGTACGGCCTTCACCAACCCATTGCCTATGCGCCACGCGTTTCGCGGCATTGTAACATCGCACAGGTGATTTGATTCGTATTCCACCCATGCAATGAACTGTGAAACGTCACAAATCTAGAACCAATTTTAAGACTCAAAACAGACGACCAACTCAGTTTTCCTAATGATCGGAGACAATCCATTGACATTCTGTGTGTTATAGGACATATCTAATCAATGCGCTACAGACGTCTAATTTATGTGGCGCGAACACAAGCTGTAATTATGTGAAGCATTCTTTTAACAATAAACATAAGCAATAAACTACAATTTTCAGAAAGGAATGGCACAACATTTAAAATTTGGAAAACTTCTAAGAAAGCTCTACGTTGACACAGGTTTCCTAAGCAAGAAGTATTCATCGAAAGAGGTTTCTAAATTTTTCGCTTTGATAAACTATTGAGAGCTCCTAGAAAAAATACAACAAAATTTTGAACGTAATTTTTAGGTTTACATTCGGTCGACAGATGTGAACCGCACGATTATTTCAGCGATGTCGAATATGCTGGGTATGTACGGTCAGAACGATGGCTCTAGTCAGGCTGGAGTCGACTACCCGGATGAGATCGGTTGGCCAGTCGGATATGTGCCAATTCCTGTGCATATTGTAGATTTTCACACTGACCACGTATGCCACTTATTACCAAAATCTGCAGTTTGTTCTTTAAAACCATGCTCATAGGTTAGGAAAATCGCGCAATAGAATATGGACCAATGCTAAGAAGGATGTCAAAAGCATGATAGAAGATTATTCCTGAGAAGGATGTCGAAATGTAATCTAAACTGGGTCCTATCTGGTCGGATGTCAACTTAAAGCGAGTCTAACATTCACATCTCCGAGCGCAGTTAATATTAAGCCTACTCCATAACGAATCATAGGGATTTGCTGATGGCTACCTTCTCTCCAAGAACTAGAGCAAGCAAATCAATGAAATCACAACTAGAAACGTACGAAATAGTTGTACCAACATTGTAAGGTACCTGTCACATTTTGTATCAGAACGAGTAGTGAACTCAGAAGGTAGTTTATGGTACGTAAACGGTAACGATTTACTACTTTATTGGTAACGTACTCCATATTTCGGAATTGGTGAAGACAGAGTTCAAAGCGATGCAGACAAGAAGTTTTATAAAGCAACCATTTTTCATCTTCGCTACCATCAATGACGACGTACCAACGAAAAGATTTCCATATCATCTTTCAACTCTATCTTATTCTGCTTACCAGTTTCAAAAATACCACAAGAGTAGCAAAACCGTTTGGCAATATACTCGACATCAGATTAAACCTTCTGCCATAATCTTTAAAACCATTGCAGAAGTAAAGAAGTGACGTGCTTTAAATGAGTGGTATGCCGAACCAGGCTTGTGTGAGAGGGCAGAAACTTTGATTTGTCAGTAAGAGCCTTTTTTTTCCAGTCTTATTTTCCAAGTATCAATCACCTCTGCGACGATACAAATGGAGTATTGCGCTGCCTTGAGAGATTGTTCAAAATCAAGCACCTTTTCGTATATCTCGCTTGATTGGATGCTTCGATGGTTGGATGGCCCGTTTTCACCTGTTTTACCGACCCCAGCAAAATTTCCATTTTCCGGAGATCTGCTAGTTTAGCCACTGGGGTTCGCTGGAGTCCCACAACCTGGCCAAAGTTTACCCCAGGTCGTTACCACCACAGGCAGTCGCAGTCGCAATCGCATATTATATCTTTCTACCACTTGTAATTCTATCAATCATTTAATTACTTGAGCTGGCCGTTATAATATTATTATGTGGCGCTCCAGCTCAGAGTCTTCAACGCTGTGACGGTGGTCAATCGGTACTGAACACCAAGAAAAATTTAAAACTGGATATCTGTGGCATCAAATAGCTGCTCCAATTACACCACCGTGAATCATTCAGTCTGTGCCGAACTCGTTCGCCACCTTCGTTATGAAAGACTTGATTTACTCTACGCTAGAAAGAAGCTGGTTCCGTCCAACGGTGAAAACAAATTTTGAAAAAATCAGGCAATGTTTCCTAGATGCACCTCGAAGCTGTGCTAACTTTGCCTGCTATAATTCTTTTATGAGGATGTTTCGTATAGTTTCTTCACAACCGCCAAAGAATTGCTTTAGAAGAGGAGAACATTGAAGTTGAGATCGATTTCAACGAATCTAATATGGCAGATGGCAATAAATGCCAACGACAAAGCGCTTTTCTGACAGTCGCTCAATTTCAAAATCAAAAACGAAAGAAAAGAAGTTAAAATCGTTCTTATTTCTGAAACTCTATTTGAAACCAAGGATCACTTAAGAAGAGTCATCTCTTATTTTTTTTCTTTAAGGTTTGACTTGTAAACATGGAGGAGAAGTATCTCCAAGACTGGATAACATCGCAACTGGTATTAGACTAGGTGTCCCAGTGTTCTCTTAAACTGAATTATAACAAAGCTTCAAAAAGAAAAGACAGGACCAGAGAGCGATGAGAGTAGAACCCAGTCATCATCCCTGGACATACGGCTTTACAACAATAAATCTACTGCATTTTGTGTGTACTCTACATGCACTTCACGAAGACTTCCTCGGAATACACTACGAACTAAAGAGGCTGTTCAAGCAATGAAGTAAGCGGCATTGCTGTAGGGATGCTGTATGGAGCAAAAAACCAAAACGTAGCCAGGATAATACAACTCTGGTCAAAATGCAGCCTTACTCTCTTCCTTTGACTATGTAGGAACGTTCTTATTCTTCAGTGTCTAACTGAACGTCCTCTTATCATTGCTCATTGATCGAGGACATTCCTTGACTAGAACTCCATTTGACTGCATTGGGAGAATTCACTACGTGGAAATGCATGAACCCATTAAAGCGAGCATGTACATGATTGGTGAACGTCACTGTGGCTGACATCAAGCTGTACTTCCAGTGAAAATTACCGCTGAATGGTACGCGCAAGTGATACCGTCCCCGGAACTGATCACCACCGTAGGTGACGCTCATAACTGAATCAACTGAATGGAAAGTGTGCACTACAAATTGTAAATACAGGGCATAGAGCAACCATGTGAGTAAGAAGTTGCTCAAAACGCTCGAGATACTGCTATGTTAAACACTTGCCAATATTGCAAACACGAGACAGGAGCCGTTCATGTTTAACTTAGAGTAACCAGAGCAGAAAGCGAGATCGTTTAAGGAGTAGTTTAGCATTATATTTGAGAAACTTTTCTGGATCACAGCTAAGATTCACAGCTACACATAGCTAAGTCTGTCATAAATGTGTGTGTTTTTCGTTCTAAGAAACAATTCTGCTTTATTTAAAGATTGGAAATCCTGATGCAGAATGTAAGCGAATGTCACTTCTGTGGGAAATGGCGAAAGCTTCTCCTGAACTTCAAACTTTTCAGAAAAATCCGAATGTTAGTGAAAAACAAAATTTCCTTTTTCTCATCAGCTGCTTGGAGCGAAGAACATCGTGACGTCGGGTTTTCAGGTGCGAGAATTACTTCATCACTTGACGGAATACTGCGGACAGACTATCGATATCGACAACTTATGGTCAATTCGCGATGCGTTGTTTATTGAGGTACGTTTCTCTATGGCATCATGCCGCTCAGTAGCTGAGTAGCTGTATGAGCGACTCCGCGAGCTCCGGCCGTTACCATTCGTCGTGTTTCTTAGCGAAAACATTCCATGGTACTTGTGAAGTTTTGGATTACTGGGGAACATCTGTGACCATGTGGTCACAGATGAAATTCATAAATAATGCTTCTGACTAAGAGTATAGCTGGACAGTGAATCGCAAACACAACGCCAATAAGTAGGAGGCCAGATCCACTTTGTTGTCCGTATTAATCCGATTGCTTCGTATAACAGGTGAAAATACCTTTCGACCACAAGATATTTGCCTAAGTACTTGTAAACGCTGTCAAGTGCAGAATTGAGTTCATTCGAATTCATTTCTTCCTTACATTCCGTTTTACACCATTCTGATCACAATACAGACTTCCATAGTTTCGCTTTCTATATCGTTCACTTTAATTTCAAAGTTTTTTCTCGGAACACTAAATAACGTGTTTTCGCATCTTGATATGTATACCGATTTTTTTTGTTCAGCAATCGCGAGGTTTTCAAACAGCATACATTTACTTCCATAGAGAAACACAATACAATACAACGCTAGCTGACGTTTCGGCAGTATCGCCTTCTTCAGAGCCTGGAAGGGTATACTGATATACAATCTACAAGGCCAAGCGCTTCAATAACACTTACAAAAAGACGAAAGGCCCTTTGGTAATTATATGATCAACAGTTTCTCGAAAAACCCACCGCTTTTTCGTGACTTCCAATGAGGAAGTTTAGAACAGCTGATTATAGTCGCATGTGGTTGACGACTGGACCATCCCACATCAAAAATCCATGCGAACGTACGGGATCAGGTCGCGTATGACCTCCGGGCATTCATCCCTGCTATTCATTGTAGGGTTTAGGCATTTATCCAAAAAGCCTCAAGAAGTTTTCGCGCTGGTGTTTTGGACTCCTGTGTAAGGATATTGACTTTGACTTCAAAATCGTCTCCGCGATGCTTTTGTATCCTATGCGTGCCTAGTGGGGTGCTTCGTCTTAGTTTTCGTTTGCCATCTAGGTGTTCTTTTTTGTCTAGGAAACACAAAGGTCTGCCCGTTTCGCCAATATATTCATCTCCGCAACTGTTACAAGAGATCAGGTATATCCTACCTGAACTCATGCGATCACCGTCCCTGCCGTAATGGCAAATTACGCAATTTGCAGTTTCACATAGACGGTCATACAGGCGATTAAAAACTAAGTGACTACAATGAGTATAGAGTGGTATTTCAACAATCGCAACCTGTTTCGATCCATTGAGGTCTAATTTCCGCGGTTTCTGATACGCAGAGATCAGATATATTGTTTTTTGCACACATTAGACCTTCATGGATCCTAGAACTGTTTTCAGTCTCTACTAATCTCGCTTAGTTCCACTAAAATACTACGATATTCGGTGTCGGTCGAGGTAATGGTAGTGGTAATGCGAAATAACCGATGATTTTAAACTTGCGGCCTTTACCGCTTTAAAATCGATAAACCAACATGTCCCGTCCTATACCTAGTAGTTCAGGTAGGATATACCTGATCTCTTGTAATAATTGCGGAGATGAATATATTGGCGAAACAGGCAGACTTTGTGTATCCGTATGAAAGAACACCTAGATGGCAAACGAAAACTAAGACGAAGCACCCCACTAGGCACGCATAGGATACAAAAGCATTGCGAAGACGATTTTGAAGTACAAGACAATATCCTTGCATAGGAGTCTAAAACGCTAGCGCGAAAACTTCTTGAGGCTTTTTGGATAAATGACCGACCCCGTATGTTCGCACCGATTTTTGATGTGGGATGATGCAGTCATCAACCATATGCTACTATAATCAGCTGTTCTAAACTTCCTCATTGGAAGTCACGAAAAAGCGATGAGTTTTTTGAGAAGCTGTTGATCATGTAATTGCTATAGAGTTTTTCATCTTTTTGTAAGTGTTATTGAAGCGTTTGGCCTAGTAGATTGTATATCAGTATACCACTCCAGGCTCTGAAGAAGGCGATACTGCCGAAACGTCAGCTAGTGTTGTATTGTATTGTGTTTTTCTATGGAAGTAAATGCATGCTGTTTAACAACCTCGAGATTGCTGAACAAGAAAATGACACATTCATATTCCAATGCCGAGGTTAATAGAAAGTCGACCCTGGGAACTATACCGGTTTTGTTTCAGAAGACACTGGCACCATACAGTAGTTGAACACTTGGATACATGGCTGGC